TGTTACAAGAGTATGGGTCACTGACCCTAACCCACTACATGGTGCTCAATGGTTAAAGAAATTGCCAGGTTCCACCAACCCTGGGATACACCCGAGCCGATGGTTCAACATGAGTCATGCTGAACGAAGGAAGGCAGTAGAACAATTCAGACTCGAAACACGCGGTTTCTTCGGTATTGATGACCCAGAATCCTGTACTGCGCTCCTTCGCGACATTGGAATCGACTCAGTCGAACTCCAGGAGGGGCCAGACGCACCTGCACCGCTCAGGTCCTCCGACGTCAATCCTAAGCCTGAGGCCGACCTCCGGCAGCAAGGGAGGGAGAAAGCGATAGTGCCGGATGAAACTGACATCGATTGGCACGCGCTATTACACCCTGCTGACCAGCGGAGGAGTCGTCTACAAATGCAGGCTCAGGGAACGATGAAGGCACTTCCGATGACGAAGAAGTGTGGTGGAAACGGGCCTGGCACGGCGGACGCTGGGATCAGTGCGTGCGACAGATATAGGCAATGGCGGCCGAGGCACCGCGAGAAACAAGGCGGGTCGTCGCCACGCTGGGCTCTGCTCGACACGGCGGACGGCGGAGGCGCAGGGGCCGGCGAGAGGAAACGCGGCCGTTCCCGCGTGGCTCAAACTCGGCATACGCAGCAAGCGGGTCGTCGGCCACAACGCTTGGACTAGAGAAGGCGTGCAGCGGCAGCAGCTGGCACTGCGAGCGGGGCGCAGCGGAGCATCCTCGGTTACAACGCTGGGATCAGCTCCTGCGAGAAGGAGCGCAGTAGCAGCATCTGGCACTGCGAGAAGGGGCACGTGGGGGCACAGGGTGGTGAATGCTTCAGCCAAATGCACTCTCGGGGAACGTGAAAATACTGCGCAGCGTTTTCGCGCAAGCACACGGTGGTTGATGTTCCAGCCGCGTGCGAGAATGCGAGAATGTTGGCGGGAGGGTCAGCACCCGACCGCGGTGTGCCTTTGAGGTGAGGGCCCCAGCAGGCTTTGACAGGTCCCTCTACACAGTAGAGGAAGGACCCGAGGACACCTGTTTATCCTGTTTATCCTCCCTCCCTCCCTCCCTCCCTCCCTCATATCCCCCTCTCCTCCTCCTCCTCCTCCTCCTCCTCCTCCTCCTCCTCCTCCTCCTCCTCCTCCTTCTCCTCCCCCTCCTCTTGCCTCGTGTCTCCTTATCCTCCATCTTTATAAGTCCTCCTCCTCCTCCTCCTCCTCCTCCTCCTCCTCCTCCTCCTCCTCCTCCTCCCCCATCCGCTACATCCTCCTTCCAAGCCCCGACCATGAGTTTCCCTATTTCTCCTCAGCCCGCCCAATGAGCAAGTGCGCACTCATGCCCCTCACCCAGCGGCAGGCCTTCAACCCATTCGCGCCTTTCTTCACCTGCTTGCGGGCCTGCGCGCGGGCGAGTCACTCGCTCTCGTCGCAGCCGCCGCAGCCACCACCACCACCACTCCCCCGCGGCCCCTCTCATCCATCTTAGGGGCAACGATAAGGGGGGGACTGGCTTAGGCGGGGAAGCATCGACCTGGAATCGGCGATACATCGCCGATAGGTAGGTGATGGGCGCCCGATAGCGAATCCGCGCGTTCCTGGGCGGGGTGGGGCTATCCGACCCCTATCTGCGGTAAGTGGGCGATTGGGAGTCGATGCATCCCCCCCCTGCCCCTATCCCCCCCCCAACGTCGCTCCTGATCATCGCCATCATCACCACCATCAGCAAAAAGGGAACGATTCTTTCTCGGCAGGCACACCGTCGGGCCGTCGTGGCCCGCAGCGTCAGCACGCCGAGGGCGGCACCCGCGACCCCGACGAGGCCCAGGTCCGCCAGGACCCGCGGGTCGGCTTTACGCAGGAGTGACCTTGGGCAAGAGTGACCTTTGGTGCGCGGCCTTCACGAGGGACGCGGGGTGGCCAGACCTGGGCGCGCAGGCCGCTGCTGCCGCCTCGCCCTCGGCGAGCGGAGGATCCCATGTGGGCCCGCATCAAGGGTCGCTCCGGCGAGAGGTCACTCCTGCGGCAGAGGGGAACAATCAGTGAACACCCCCCCTGCCCCCCACAACTCAGAGTTGGCACGCGCGGGGGAGACTGCGGTCGAGGTGCCAGCTCATCAGACCCGCCGCCGACTTCGAGCACATTGGGGGGAGGGGGAGGCGTTCACAGATGAATGTGGCATGAGCGTTCGCTATTTGTTTCCGAGGCCCGTATGTCCAGTCGAGCAGGGCCGCGGGACGGGGCCGAGCGCAGGGGCGGAGGCTGCGGGCGAGGCGGGGGCGACCCCCCTCGGACCCCCACGGAGGGGGGCAGCGCCTCCTCGCCCCGTCCGTCGGGGAGAAGGCGCGGCAGCTCTCTCTAAGCTCCCCGCCTTCGGCGAAGGGGCACAAGGGGGGTAGGTGGAGGGGGGGGGGGCTTCTTGGAAAGGGGCTGCTCCTCAGACGGCGCCGGCCCTACATCTATAGAGACTGCCCGCGCCTTCTGAGGAGCAGCCCCCTTCTGAGAAGCCTTCCCCCCTCCCCCTACCCCCCTCTGCGCGGGGCCGGCCTCTCCCCCACGGGGGGAAGGGGGGGCGTCGCATCGCCTCGCACCCCCATCCCGGCGCAGACAACTCGCCATCGCTCGGACGTCCATTCCCCGTGCCTGTGTTCGGCCTTGCGCGCTGCCTCTTCACACGAGGATCCAAGATGCTCCTCGAAGGGCCTCGCAGAGAAAACATGCCCACGTCCGAGCGATGCCAAGATGACAGCAACAGACAACAAGCTGCTGGACGACCCCAGGCAGCTCTGCCGGCCTCGTTACAGTGGCCATGAGGTTCCTGCAGTAAGGAAGCATCAGCGCGCCGCGGAGGCGAGCTGTGGGGATCCAGGTACAGCAGCACCCAATTGTATGCGGACCCGATTCGGTCGTGATGGGGGTACTTACTGAAGGAATCCTGTACAAGGGAACCTTACTGCAGAAATCCGGATTCTGATATCATTGGCACAGGAATCCTGAAGGGACCCAGACTCACAACAGCTGCATAATCTAGTCTTACTGAGGGGGTTCTACAGAAGGGGCCGCCAATCATCTCCAACTTCATCATCATCATCATCATCATCATCATCATCATCATCATCATCATCAACATCATCGTCATCATCATCATCATCATCATCGTCATCATCACCATCATCATCAGCAGCAGCAGCATCAGTATCGGCATCATCATCGTCATCATCATCATCAGCAGCATCGTCATCATCAGCATCATCATCGTCAGCATCATCATCAGCAGCATCATCAGCATCATCATCTCCTCCTCATCATCATAGTCATCATCAGCAGCATAATTTTCATCATACGTACTCACGATCATCATCATCATCAACATCATCACCATCATCCCATCATCAGCAGCATCATCACCGTTCATCGGTATAGTCATCGATATCGTAATCGTCATCGTCATCGTCATCATCCTCATCATCATCAACATCGGCATTATCACCATCATCTTCATCATCATCGCCAGCATCATCATCATCTTGATCATCATCAGCACCTACATCCGTATCACCAGAATCAGCATCAACACCACCACTACCATCAGAATCATCATCATCAGAAGCAGCATCATCAGAATCGACTTCTTCATCCTAATCATCATGATCATGATCATGGTCATCATCACCGTTACCATCACCAGCATCATCATCATCACCATGATCGGCGTCATCGTCATCACCATCACAATCAACATCGTCATCATCATCCTTATCAGAATCACCATCATCATCCTCATCATCCTCGTCACCATTATCCGCATCATCATCATCAGCATCAGCATTATCACCACCGTCATCATCATCATCATCATCATCATCATCATCATCATTATCATCAACATCATCATCATCATTATCATCATCATCAACATCATTATCATCTTGATCATCATCAGCACCTACATCCGTATCACCAAAATCAGCATCAGCACCACCACTACCATCAGAATCATTATCATCAGAAGCAGCATCATCAGAAGCGACTTCTTCATCCTCATCATCATGATCATGATCATAATCATCATCACCGTTATCATCACCATCACCATCACCACCATCACCATTATCGACGTCATCATCATCATCACTATCGTCATCAGCATCCTCATCATAATTATCAGAATCACTCTCATCATCCTCATCATCCTCATCATCATCAACATCAGCATTATCACCACCGTCATCATCAGCATCATCATCAACAACATCATCACCATCAGCATCAGCATCCTCATCATGATCACCATCAGCAGCATCACCATCGTCATCATCATCATCATTACTATTTTCGTCATCACCATCACCATCATCATCATCATCATCATCATCATCGTCATCATCGTCCTGATCGTTAGTATAATCGTCATCATCAGCAGCAGCAACGTCATCAGCATCAGCATCAGCATCAGCATAATCAACATCATCATTATCACCATCACCCTCACCATCACCATCACCATCACCATCACCATCACCATCACCATCACCATCACTATCACTATCATCATCATCATCATCATCATCATCATCATCATCATCATCATCATCATCATCATCATGCTCATCAGCAGCAAGCAGCATGCTCCCTCTCATAATCACCGTTCAAATATCCTCCTCTTCCTCCTCCTCCTCCTCCTCCTCCTCCTCCTCCTCCTCCTCCTCCTCCTCCTAGTGGCCGCTCGCAGCTTGTCGTTCAATGGCCTTGGATCGATGAAGCCTGCACCCTCCCTTGCCAACATTTCTCAGGGCGCCGCCAGGTGCCGTGTGTGCCTTGGGCCTCGTCCACCCGAAGGCCGCGCCAGGCTGGGAGAAAGCGCGGCAGCAGATGCCAGGGAGGGTGCGCCGCGGCAACGGACGCGGGGGGCGCGGGCGGCCTGCCTGCCTCCGAGAGAGGCACCAGGGGGAGCAGGCGCGGAGGCGGCCGGCGGCTGCGGAGCCCGACGAGAGCCTCAGCCGAAGCCCAGCCTGGCGCTGCTGCTCGATGGAGGGCCAGCCCGGCTGTTGGGCCGGGGTGGCCCCATCCCCGCCCTGGGCTGCTCCACTGCCGCCGACTGCGGCCTCGGCGGTCTTGGCGGCTGCGCAGCCACCCGGGGGGGCGGGCCGAACTCCTTGAGCCAGCCCTCCTCCAAGCGCCACGCGCGGGTGAGCATGTCCTCGAAGTAGTCGTCGCTGAAGATGTTGCGGCCAAGCCTGTCGTAATACTTCTCGAAGTCCGCCAGCCGGACGACACCCGGAGTTCCAGCGCCGATGTTTTTCCTAAAGTTCTCGAGGCCAGCAAAGATGTCACTGTCCGAGGGCAAGTCCTCCTCACGACAACCACCGTCGAGATACCGCAGCTTGATATCCTCGAGCTGGATCATCCCGTTTCCCGTCCTGTCCAGCCTCTGGAACAACGACCTGATAGCGTGTCGCCGTCGGGGTGTCATGGTTTGACCTAACAAGTTCACGAGCTCGTCGAAGCTGGCAAAGCCACTTCCGTCTTCGTCGAGTGCGCTCCACAGGTTCTCGAAGTCCTCCGCCGATAGTTCGAATGACAGCCGCAGTTCACTGATTCCCTTCTTGAACTCGTGCTTGCTGATCCTTTTGTTGTTGTCGTCATCCATGCTAAGGAAGCGCTGAGCCAGGCCTCTCAGGCCCCCGTCGGCTTGCCTGAACCCAGTCTGGGCGGCCATGGCACGGAGGCGGAACTCTTCCCGCACAAGCCGCAGGATCTCCTCCTGGGGGGTCTCCTTCGGCGGCTCCACCTTGCCCTGCGCACCCGCGGCTGCTGGCGCAGCAGCGCCTTTGGATGCGCTGATGGCGGCGCTGAAGGCAGCACCGGCTTCTGCGCCGTCCTTTCGGCTAGACGCAAGAGTGGCCCCGGATAAGAGTGCGCGGCCTTGGGGGCGCTCGAGGGGGCAAACCCAAGCGCGCAGGCTGCTCCTGCCGCACCGCGCTCCGCGATCGAGGGGGGGGGGGCGTCCATGAGCCCGCACCAGAGGCCTCTCCAGCAAAGGGCCGCTCTTGCGTGCAGGAGATCCTTGCCGTGGCCAGCTGGCGCGTGCTTGGCGCTGTAGACCCGGCGCCGGAGCTCCTCCTTCAGGCCCAAAGGGATGCGGAGCTGGTGCCACCCGCCGTCGGAGAGGCCCTGGAGCGTGCGCGGGTCGCAGAGCCACTCCTCCTCCAGGAGTGCCACGATCCGGCCGACGTCGTCCTCCGCTCGAGGAGGGGGGTGGAGGAGGAGGAGGAGGAGTGGGAGGTGAAGGAGGAGGAGGAGGAGGAGCAGGAGAAGATGAAGAAGAATCAGCATGATCACAAAAGAGGAGAAGAGCAGGAGGTGCATGGACTGGGAGGAGGGGCGTGAGGAGGTGGGATAAAGAGAGGGAGAACAAGAGAGAGAGAGAGAGAGAGAGAAAAAAAAAGAGAGAGAGGGATCCTGACCCCCACCGGGAACTGCGAAGGCAGCATTTCCCAGCAGAGGGTGCGATGGACTACAGCATGCGATTTCTTGCGCTCGCAGACAAACACTCGATTGAAGACTACTGTACGTCGCACGCTGGTCTGATGGAGGCCCCAGGGGCATGGAGCCCTCCAGGCTGGGTTGCCACATTGCCCTGGTGCCAACTTGCTTACCGAATCTCCTGGTCAGGCACATGCGGCGCCCCCCCCCTCGCACGGGTTGGGCGGGGAGGGCAGAAAATGGAAAATGCGGGGGAGGGAGGGGGGGGGGGGGGCAGGCCACGGACGCCGAGCTCACGCGGCTACGGAGAGCCAGACCACTGCCGCGGGACGGACGTCCCCAGACGCCTCTGCGGGCGGACCGAGGCTCCCGGGGAAGGCTTCCTGGAGCCTGCGGGCCCAAGAGACCACCCCTGGCCCCCGCACCCAGGGCGGGCAACAGGGGGCGTGGGAACCCCTCCTGCGGGCAGCCCCGGGGCGGGGTCGTGGATCCTCCCGCTTGAAGAGTCAGTTTGGATTTCCACTAGATTTGACAATAATTTGTTCATGATTGTGGATTTGGAAATTGTATGCGAGGTGGTACAAATGGATGAAGTGAAGAAACACAAAACGCCAACCGACATCGATCAGCATACACATCAGCTGAATCAAATCGCGCACCAATGAGCAATGAGTCTGAAGCAGCACACACATATTGAACTGTTTTTGTTATACTGAGAGACTCACTCGAATTTCTCGGGGGGGGCCCTTGAGAAACAAGTGTGGCCCAATCCTTTCCTTTGGGTCCCCTTGGATGCTCCCAGAAAAGCTTCCGGGAACATCGCCAAAAACGTTCCCCGGCAAGTTTCCGGGAACATCTGGAGCACCTTCTTGTGGGAATGGGCTAGGGACAGGCGGTGTAGCCCTAAACCAACAAAGCAGCACACACACAAACACACACACATGTTTTTTTTGCGTCGGCGGCTAGGCACAGTGACTGCGCTGGCGATGTGGCAACACACACAAACACACACACACACACACACACACGCGCATACTGTACATACACAAACAAGCACACACACATAAAAAAAAACACACACGCTTAAGAAACATTGCAGGGAGAGGGTGGAGGGGGCAGAGTGATAAGGATAGGGGAAGGGAAGGAGGGGAGGAGGGGAGGAGGGAAAGAGGGAATGCGGGGAGAGGGAGAGGAGAGGAGGGGAGGCGGGAAACATGGGAGCATAGGGGATGAGAAAATGGGAGGGGAGGGGGGGCGATGACGACGATGGTGATGATGATGATGATGATGATGATAACGATGATGATGATGATGATGATGGTGATGATGATGCTGATGTTGATGATGATAAAGATGATGATGATGCTGATGATGAGGAGGATGATGATGATGAGAATGATGATGCTCCTGTTGTTGTAGCAGTGGTCCAGCGGCTCCACCGCCGCCAGGCTGGCAGCCAGCTCCCGACGCCGCTAGCGGCGGCATCAGGTACTCGTAGCGCTTCAGCTCGAATGCGTCACCCTCGACGCCCTCGTCGCTCCGTTCGCCGTCGCACCAGCTGTAATCGGCTTCTTGATCGCCAGCGTCCTGGCCGCGTTGTAGGCTGCGCCCACGCGGAGCTGCCTGGCTGCAGCCCCTTCATGATACGCGCCAAATTCTGGATCCCCGACTACTTGGGGATGCCGATGCACGCCTTGGCGAGGTCTTCCACCACTTCCTTCGCGATGCAGCCGCAAGCCGTGCAGCAGTGGAACTGCAACCTCACGTCGTAGTCTGCGAGGCGCGTCTCGCGCGCCGTCTGCAAGCCCACCTGGACATCCCAGCTCATCTTCGCGCCGAAAGGTGACGACTCCTGTGCCACTAACTCCGCGCATGGCTCCTTCAACCCGGCGCCCGACTTGCGCCTCGGCATCCTCGCCCCGCACTGCTCGCACTTGAAGTGCTTCGCGCTCGGGTCTCTACGATGACGTGCTCGGTGTCCGCGACGAGCTGCCCGCCCTTCTCGAGCTTCATATTCCCCTTCTTGCGCTCCTTGGCGGCGGGCTGCCAGGCTGGCTCCGCTTCCATCGCAGCCGCGGGCGTCGTGCAAGCCCCCTGGCGGATATGCGCAGCGACCTCCTCCGCGAACCTGATCCTCCGCACGTCGCCCTGGGGGGCCTCGACCTCCTCCAGGATGCCCTCCACGAGCTCGCCGGCGCGATGGTTGCCCGCGTAGTCGCCGCCCATGTCGACCCCTGCCATGATTGCATCCGCCACCGACAGGCGGCTCTCGATCTTCGTGACCATCATATATTTCAGCACGGCTGCTTCACGGCACCGCTTCCCGACGTCCTGGTGCGCATTGGGCATCTGGCTCTCGCGAATCCGATCCGCTCCTCGGGCAACGTAGCTGGAACCCGTGATGTACATGATCTTCTTGCGCGGCTGCAGGTACTCGAGCATCTCGACGACCGCTGCGAGCTCGCCTCGGTTGACACTCTGCCGCCAAGCCGCACATCCCTCTCGACCGCCCATGGAGAACCTGCCCTCGTTCAGCTCCGAGTTGAATACGGTCCAGCCACGCGATCCTTCTCATCCTCGGGTCATCGGTGTTCTCGCCCCCCGATGCGCTTCCTGCCGTCTAGACCCACTCGTTGACGTCCATGCGGGCCTCTCCGACCTCTTCTCGCAGGTCTTCTCCTAGCTCAAATAACAACATGACCTGCGCCCAGCTCTTGGGCAAAATGCCTCTGAGCCACAGGCGCTGCTGGATCTCGACCCCCCTCGTTGGCCTTCTCCTCCAAGCGCTTGGACCTCTCGCACTCGGGGAATTTGAGGTTGCGACTGCACTTTCACACGCAATGCCCCCAAGTCTCTGGCTCCTCCTCGCACTTCGGGCATAGCACGCTCTCCACCTCGACCCCCATGTTCGGCGACCCGCTGCCGCGGCCAAATACCACCAGCGAGAACTGCCTCCACAGCCCCGACCATGCGGCATTTGCCCTGTTTCTTGAGCCTTCTCAGCCAGCTCCTCGCGGAGTGGAGGTCCGCGCCTTCCTCCGTGCCCTTCCACCCGCAGTGCTCCACTGCCTCGGCCCACTGCATCCGCTCGACGCTCTGCGAGCGCCGCCTTCAGCCCGCCAGCGCCCACATCGTCGCCCAACTTCTCGGGGTCGTCGCCCCCGAAGACCTCGCCGCTGTCTGGCCCCCAATTCCATGGGCCGAGGGGTACCCAGCCCATGTCCAGCAGCGTGTAGACCATCGCCTTGGCGACTCGTGTAACTCTTCGCCATCGATCACTCTCCTTCTTGGTCTTCATCTCCGTGACGATCCTCTCCCGAACCAACTAAGCCCTGCACCTCCTCATGCCCTCGCTGACGAGGTGCATCCAGGAGTCCTTGCCCGGGGTCGCCTCGCCCCAACTCCAGCTGCAGCAAAATGGCGAGGAACCTCCCGCTCTGCCGAGGAGCGATCAAGCCTGCAAGCCTCCTACTCCCCCACATGGCGATCACCGAGGACGCCATGCCGAAGACCTTGCGCGCGCGCGCCGCCCGCGGCAGCGATCCTCTATTCGCCACTGCTCGCGCTCCGCCTCGAGCCCCTCGCCCAGCTCGGAACGGCCGCGTGGCCTTCTCTACCTGTCTGTCCGCGCGCGCCGTCCTTTTCGCGCGCTTGCACTTGGCCTACGCGACGCTGCCCCTGTCAACCCCGAGGTCGGGCGCCTGACCCCTCAGCGCGGCCGCGACGCTGCGGACCTGCAGCTTGAGCGCGACATGCTGCGTCACATCCTTGTTATTCCTTACGACGGCTGACCTCTAGGACATCACCAGCCTCGCCGTCTTGGCGCCTGCTGCGCAGTTCACCCCTGCCCCCGTCAGCTGCTTGATCAGCTGGGCTTTCGACCCTTCGCTCCTCGCGGTGGCGTCGCCGACCCACGTGCGCACGCTCACCTGTGGAACTTGTTGCTCGCCTTCTCGAGCACCGGGCACAAAGCGACCCTGCCGAAGTCGATCCCCCCTGGCGCCCGCGCAGATGGACCTCTCGGGGGCGATGGGCCCCGCGCGCGCCGCCCTCTCTCCGACGAGCCCGCTGCTCTGGTGGCTGAGCATCTCCAGGTGCAAAGCGCGCGCTGGCAGCCCAAGCCTCACACCCTCGCCCAAGAGCAGCACCGGCACCAAGGCGTCGTAGAACTCCGCCGCGTCCCAAGGCACCGCGGCCGCGTAGATCTTCTGCGGCGCCCACTGGATGACCTCGTCGGCAAAAGACCGAACCAGCACCTCCTTCAGCGCGCTGTTGCCCGCGATGGCCGCGCCCCACCTGCCTGCCATCGCCTTCGCCCACTCGTTGGTACACTCACTGTGCACCTTGGACCATGGCTTCGCCACTTCTGGCAGGAGCCCGATGGTCAGTCACCACTGGTCTCCTTCCTCAGCAAGTTCACCACCGCGATGAGCAGCTGCCAAGGCCATGCGCCACTGCTCTCGACGCACTCGATCTGCCGCCCCAGGCCCTCGCGCGCGCTCGGCGGCAACAACTTGAAATCAGCGCCCCCATCTGCTCCGCGCCCTTCGCCTTACTCTTCACCATCGAGTCGATGGCGCGGCCCGGCGCCCCCGTGGCGAGGGGCACCCAGCCCTCTTCCGCGGCCGCCCCCCTCGCGCTTTCGAGCACGCTGAGCAACTGGGCCCCACTTATTCTTCCATTGCGCCCCCTTCCCGCCCATGCTCTCCGCTATGTTGTGCGTCTCAATACCATTGGCGCAGATATTGTTGTCGCGCCTTGGCCGGCCCTTCCTCGCGCGGCGCAGCCCCCCTGCACCCGTCGCCCCCTGCCCCTGCGCCCTTCTGGCGTAGCCGACCAGCGCGCCCGTGACCTCCCAGCGATTGCCCGGCTTCGCCGTGGCGAGCGCTGCCACGCCCAACTGCTGCAGCTGCGCGCTACTCAGAGCATTGATCTTGCTTCACGATACCCTCCACTTTCCCCTCTTCTTCGCCGTCATCTGGATGGCGCCGCCGGTCGGATGGCGTTGACGACGCCCTCGCGAAAGCTCCCGAGCTTGGACGCCCTCGGCCCCCTGCCCCCACTACACTGAAGATCCCCCGGCCACAACGACAGGGCCCACCACCACCTGCTGGACTGGCCCCAGTCGGCCCCGACGTCGACCCCAAGCCCGACGGCGCTGAGGTCGAAGTCTAACACTCCCCGCGCCCGCAGTAGCAACGACGGCCCTTCGGATCGATCCGAAGCATCGCGACGCAGAACTGCTCTACCACGCGCACTCAGCTGCCGCACCTGCTGCCGAGCTCCCTCGACGCGGCGTCGTCGAACTGGCGCGCCGCCCCGCCCTTCGCGCGCCGCGACGGCGCGCGCCGCGCCTCGCCGCCCCGCTTCGCCGCCGTCTCGAGCTGAATGCAACCTGCCAGAGCGCGCCGCCGATGCCGCTGGCACGGGCGCAACGCCAGGAACTGCCTCCTGCTGGCACTCTCTCGCCCAGCGGCCCGGCCCCCTCGACTGCCCTCTTCTTATGCTTCCGCACCTCGTCGAGCCATGCCTGCTGCGCCGACTTCTGCTCATTGAGCTCATCCGCCGCCGACGCGAAGGCCTACGCGGCCGCTGCCATCGCCTCCCCGACGAAGTCGGCTTTGCGCTTCTCCAGCGCCTCGACGCCGTCGGCTGCGACCACGCTCTCGCAGTCGCCCACGTCGAAGAGTTCGCCCGCGTCAACCCCCAGGTCGTCGTCGCCAAGCAGCGCGGCGATGGGGGGCATGGGCGTGCTTCCTCCACCTTCACGCGCTGGCTGCGTCACGAGTGGATGACGTCGCAGATGCTCCCCAACGCGATCCTCCTCCTGTCGGGCCTCCGCCGAGCGGCCCTTGAAGTCCCTCTCCGCCTACGCGAGCTCCGCGCGAAGCCGCTCTCGCCGACGGCGCGCTTTCTGCTGCTGGCGCGCGGCCTTTTTTTCTGCGCGCGCCCCCCGCTGCTCGGGGCGCTGAAACCTGGAGATCGGCGAAGGAGCGCCGCTCGGAGCGCCGCTCTGCTCGCTGAGATCCCCCCCCCGAAGACTTCGACGCCATGATGTTGAGCGCCTCCTCGACGCGCCTGTCGTCGCCCCCTGCGCTGAGCTACGCCACCATCTCGCGCGCCCGGATGGAAGTGCCAAGGGCGTCCTTCTCGCAATAGTTGTCGATGCAGTAGCCGCTGCAGCTGCCAGGCCTGCGGCTTGCCAAGAGCCGTTGGCCCCCATGCCGAACCGCCACACTTGCACTTGTAGGCAGCGTCCGCCAGCCGATCTGCCCAGAGCCACTTGCCGCACTTTTGCTTATGGTACAAGCCTTGGGCCTGCCGCCGCTGCTGCCTCCTTGGCCCCAGCTCCTGGGCCTGGGAGTCTGCGTCCGTCCGCCGCCACTGCTGTAGCCGTCGAGGCACAACTGGACAAGCTGAACCCAAGGCTGACGCCGCCATGGACTCCGAGCTCCGCAACGCTGATTGCCTCCGCCACCGCAGCCGCCGCCAGTGCTGTCGCCACTGCCCAAACTCGAACGAATCGGTGCCATGGCCTCCCTGCGCGGCAAGATATGAAAGATATGGAATGATGCCGAAACTTCGGAATTGGCTGCACAGAATCGCTGGCCCTCGGCGTCGGAGCGGTCCTACCGCTCGAAACGCCCACGGGACTCGCGGTCACTGGAAATCTGATCGGCCTTGAACCAACATGGTTTCATATGATGATCATGATGATGATGATGATGGCGACCATGATCACGGTGAGTATGATGGCAGGGACGATGGTGATTCGGATGATGGTGATGATGATGGTGATGATGGGGATGGTGGTGAAGATGTTGGCGATGGCGATGGTGATGACAATGGTGACGGTGAGGATGATGATGGTCATGATGGTGGTGATGGTGTCGACGATGACGGTGATACTGATGCTGATCATGCTGGGGTATGCTGATGACAGTAAGCATGGTAAGTATGGCACATATGCGAAGTATGCTGGTTATGCGAATCATGGTGACGGTGATGACGGTGATGACGGCGATGCTGATGATGCTGATGATGATGATGGTGATGGTGAGGATGCGGATGGTGATAATGATGAGGAGGAGAATGAGGATGATGATGATGATGATGACAATGATGATGATGGTGATAATGATGGTAATGGTGATTGTGAGAACAGTGATGTTGACGGTGATGATGACGGTGGTGAAAAGGAGGAGACGGGGTATTGTTGACACCCACGAGGCCTAGGACGAGGAAAGAAAAAGGACGAGGAGGAGCAGGAGGAGGAGGGAGGAGGCAATGACGCAATGACCGAGAACGTGCAAGTGAATCACGAACACGACTGTATGATATGGCGCCCCAACGGCCTGCACAGCAACCGCGCACGGGGGCGCGCGCGTGCTGCCAGCTAAAGAGGAAGAGCCAGCAGGGACCACCCTCGGGACGCCTGGGGCGCGCACTGCAGCGGCCCAACCACCAGACGCCCGAGGGGCCCACACAGGCCAGCGCACTCAGTCTGACCCCAGCGTCTCCAGCAGGACGTGCACCCGCAGGTCGTCCAGCGAACAGCGTTCTAGGATGGGCGCAATGGAGTCGGGGTTAATGCTCGGCCTCGGAAGACCTTCGGGTGCTGTCACTTTTGGCGCAGCCCAAGGTCGCAGCGCGCCGTCGCTTCGCGCAGCCCTGTCGCGCGTGGCAGGAAGGCGCCCGACACAGTCGACAAAACCAGGACTGTGCACGCGTCTCGTTTGTTACCCCGAAGGGTGCACCACATCTGGTGCCCCGAGGCACAGCTCCAGCAGGCGCGCATGCTCGAGTACCTCGCCCACCACGGGCGATGTCGCCTCCGAGGCACGGCCATCGAAGACGCCGCCGCCTCGCCAGGCGCCCCAGCCGGGGCCGCCGCCAACGCCTGGCCACGCCGCCGCCCGCGCCCCCCTGCAGCACCGCCGGCGGCGGCAGCGGCAGGACCCTCGCGGCGCAGGGCGCCGGCCCAAGAGTCGTCGAGCTCCGCGCCAGCGTTAACTCGGGCGTGTCCCCTACCGGGGGATCTTCGACGAGTTGGCTCAAGAGGGCCAAAAAATGTTGAAAAAATAATCCCCGTACGATTTCTTTGCTAGTTTTGGATATCCCTCCTGTAGAGGGACGGGCCCGACTTAACGCCAGCGGCGGCAGCGGGCGCAGGCAAGTCGAGCGCCATGGGCTCGGCCGCCTTCTCCACCGCCTCCGCCATCACAGCAGCTGCGCCCCGTGCCAGCAGCTCGCGCCCCCCGCCACGCGCCCCGCGGCGGCGCCGACGCCGCTCCCGCCGGCGCCTCCGAGGGGGCGCGCGGGCAAGGATCGGAGCACCACTAGCCGCAGCGTCCGCGCGGCGGCAGCTTGGGAGGCCCCGGCCCGCGCGCAGAGCGCGGCTGCGACGGCCGACGGAGCGACAGCGGCGCCGGTGCGGCGCGGGGCACGCCCCAGGACGGGGCCACGCACCGCCGCCTCCACCAGGGCAGCGGCTACGGCGGGCGGCGCGC